TGCCTCTTCCAGCTTCCTGTCTGTGTGGCAGTCGGGGTTTGAGCCCTGGTAAGGATTCTCCCTTAACACGTGGCACACAGGGATCGTGGGCAACAATGCCCACCCGCCAATTCTGCACCAAATTCCTCTCCCATCCGCCATGGGCCTGTGGTCCCAAGGCCCAGCCTTCCCAGTCTCTGTTTCTTATGCAGTGTTTGGTATGTAGGAAGGGGCGGTTGCCCTGAACAAGCAACGGATGCTGTTGGACACTGCAAGCAAAGTCCTGCTGTGTCTCTGGGTGCCACTGGCTCCCCAGGGTGGATGGGGCCTTGTGGCTTCGGGCCAGCAGGCATGGCACCCTCAGAGGCATGCAGGGCCCTGAGCTGTGGGTGCTGGGCAGACAAAGGGCTCACTCCAGAGAGCCAGGCACCCCTGCAGCTGGCTCTGCTACCCTGGCCACAGTACCGGCCAGGGCCACCCAGGGTCCTCCTCCCACTCGATGGGCAGCACCTGCCTCCTCACCCTACCTGTGGCCTGAGGCTGTGGTCCCAAAGACAGATCCAGCATTGTCTTCTCCTCTCTGTGGCTGTCAAGGTCAAAGTCTTCCAGCCCCAAGAGAGCAGGTGCTGAGTGGGCCAGGCAGGACCAGAATGAGGCTCCGGAGCAGGCCCCACAAGTAGTATGAGCGAGGAGCCTCTGTCTGGGGTGTTGGAAATCGGGGACTCCAGTGCAGTCTCAGACCCCAGGACTGCTTCATGGACTGTCAGGCCAGGCTCCCCAGAGAACAGGCACCTATGAGATGTATTCATGGGAGCCAGGGGTGGTGGAGTCTTCAGTTCCTGGCTGACGAGGAAAAGCCGCAGAGCAGAGGGGTCTCAGGGACCAGAGACACCGGGCACACGGAGGGTGTGGCTTGGGAGACGCCACAGCCCAGTCCCCTGGGCCACCCTGCCCCTCGGAGCTCCCCAGGCAGAGGGGCTTCCTGAGCTTCGGAGAGCGCTTACCACTTTCCCGCCACTTGGAGATAAATCCCGAGTTTCTTGAGAGAGCTGCGGCCAGCTGCCTCAGCCTCCCCCCTCCTGGCCTGCCACACTGGCACTGCACCTGATCCTGCTGGGACGGTGAAGCCAGCACCTTGGGTCAGGCACCCTGCTGCTGCAATCCCAGGAGAGTCCTCCTCTGCCTGCTCCAGGCCCTCGTCCATGCCTCTCCGTACTTCCCAGAGAGCCCCCCACACCTTCCACACACACAGAAGGGGAAACTGAGGCCAGCAGACCACAGGTGGGGCTGCCAAGTTTGGCATGAAGGTCAGAGGTTCCTGGTGTGTTGTGTCTGGCAAGGCCACCCTGGCCGGGGACGGGCACGTTGTTCTAAGGGGTGACCGATGGACCTGTGCGTTTGGGGCACCAGAAGCCGAGGGCCTGGGTGGACCCTGCATGATGCGGGTCACAGGGACTCGGTCCCGGGCCCCCCTCACGATGGTGGTGGCAGAGGCCTCTGGAACAGCTCCGGGCCATCCGGTGGCACAGGCACAGTGGGAAGAGCGGGCAGACAAGCCGGGTAGCCCTGACACAGTGCAGACACCGCGCTGCAGACCGGGCCACAGCCAGAGCCAGGCTCGGTCCTCAGGTCAGTCCGGCCTGAACAATGAGGGTCAGGCTCCTTTGGAACACACTTGCCAGTGCTGCCCTCAAGTGGCCGCACTCAGAAAGGCGCATAAGGCCGGTCTGCTCTGGCTGCTACAGGTGACCGGAGTCATGGGGGACTGGATTCAAATTCAAGTAATCATCAGTCACAAGTTTCTAATCCTTTGAAAGAATAAAAGCAGCTGAAAACACAGAGCCCCCTCCAACTTTGAAGGTGTAGAATGAAGCCCAGTAAATATCAGTTACCATCCGCTTAAGGTAAACGCACACTTTCTTTGGCTCTTGAGATCGAAAGTCTCTTAAGGGACCAGGACTTCTCCCTGTCCCAGCTTTATTTTGATGGTTCCCTCCCAGAGCACCAGCCTTCGCTCTGAGTCTTGATGCCATAATTTCCCCTGGGCCAGAGGAAAACACCCCTGCCACGTGATTTTATTGGGTTTTAATGTGATTTTGCTCTAGGTAAAGAACGCAAGAAGCTGATCGGCCCAAGTGTGGAAATACACACAACATTTGACTTGGCCAAATGGCGTCCCGCCGTCTGGTTCCACTGAGGCCGATTTAACCATGAGGCCCCGCTCTTGGTCGGAGAGGTGAGTGATCCCGGCAGGGTCCTCTGCTGGGAATGAGACAGGAAGCGGCAGACTTGGGAAAAGATTGGACATTTGGCCCCCACTTTTCCTTCTGCCATGGGGTCCGCCAGGCACAGATTTCATTCACAGATGCCTCTGTTTTGAAGTCCGCGGTCACCCCAGCCCCGGGACAGGAAATCCTCCCGGAAGGTGCCAGGTAACCCGCAGGGCGCTTTCTTGGGGAGAGCGTGTCACTTCCACTGGGGCTCACACGGCCACCAGACACCGTGTGGGGCTGGGGTGGGACCCGTGCCAGCCCACTGTCCAGACAAGGCCTCTGTGTCCAGGAAGAGTGGGCCAGGCCCTGGCACGGTGTCGCGAGCCGCAATGTCAGGATCCTGACAGCAGATCCTAAACCTGAAAGGAAGGGCAACAGGAGAGAAAACAGTCTCACAGACTTGGTTCCAGGCTCGTGCTCTCTTCCTAGCAACGCCCCGTTTATTTTTCAGGGTGGAGTATATATAGGCTAAAACCGAAACCAAAAGTGTGAACAGGGTGTAGCTGACTGCAAAGGTCACAATGCTCTACAAAACAATTATTATGGGTTACATTTGCTAGGCAACAGGTCAGACCACCAGTTGAACTAGCCCGTTGTTATGGGCGACGGCACGTCCATGCCAGTGAGGTGACTCAAAATTCAATCATGGCTGTACTTATGTCAAGGCTCACCACAGCACAGGGCCTTAAACACATGACTCCCCAGGGTTTCTGCTGCAGCAGCAGAGGATTGGCAAATTGGGCCACAAGGTGATGAAAGGCAGATGCTGGATGATTTTGCTAATGTTGTAGATTTCATCTGTATTGTCTGGGGGGGGGGTACTAGGGCTTGAACACAGGGCCTTTGCACGAGCTACGTCCCAGCCCGTTTTTATTTTTTGAGCCAGGGTCTCACCAAACCATTGTCCCCCAGCTGGGCCTGAACTTGCAATCTGCTGGCCCCGCTGCGGGGTGCACTGCGGCACGTTCCTCCCTGGAAGCCTGTCTAGCTCACGGGCTCAGACCCCCACAGACAGCACTGGTGAAGGAACAGTTTCGGGGAACTCCATGTAATCTGGGAAATGCAGCATTTCCTTTTTCTCTTTCCTAAACTGAAAATACAGCCAAAATGCCTGGTGCTCAAGGCTGACCTTGTGTCTGGGGCCACTCGGAAGTCACCTTCTGAACACCCCCAAGGTCCAGCTGGCCCTGTAGGAAGCAGAGGAAACCTTAACAGATGGGGCCTGGTGGGAAGTCTTCACTTATTTTTATTTCTATTTTTGAAACGGGGTCTTGCTGTGTAGCCCAGGCTGGCCTCGAAATCATGGTGATCCTCCCGCCTCAGCCTCCTGAGTGCTGGGATTACAGGTGTGCATCACCACACCGGGTTGGAATTCATAAGTCACTGGGGAAACGACTGTAAAGGGAACTGTGGGGCTAAGGTCTCTTCTCTTTCTGTCTTGCACTCCAGACCACGAGGTGAGAGGACCAGCCCCACCCCTACCTTCCCTTCTGCCTCATCCTCGCCCAGGCCACAGGCAGCACAGCCCAGAGTAGCACAGCTCAGAGCTAAAGCAGCCTTTGGCTCATGCAGGCCAATCCTGTGTTCGTGGCTGTACTGACAGAGCAGGCACCTTCTCCTGGAGTGGGCACTAAGGGGATGGTCCCACCCCTGCAGGAATGGCCAGGTCAGGACTGCCCAGAATGCGTCCACCTGCCAGGGTCCACAGGACGTGGCCTGGCTGTCCTGCTGCTCTGTGCTCTCTGTGAGGCCCCTGCTGCCCCAAGCCCCGGCCCTTTTGTCCCCCAGCCAGGCATCCACAGCCCCAGCTGCGCTCAGCAGATGGGAAACAAGCTTCAGCATTCCTGTTCGGATTCTCGCAAGTGGGCAAAGGTGATGGACGGGTCCTGCAGTGTCCCTGCTGACGACAGGCCCTGGGCCTGGTGTGGCAAGTCACACCTGGAAGGAGAGTGCGGCCACCACCCAGCAGGGACCTCTCCCCTCTGGAGCATCCAGTCCCCTGCAACTCAGACAGCAGCCCCAGGCGAGTGAGTGTCTGGGCGGCCTGTCCAGGGCTCCTCTGGGCTATTCGCGCCCTGCCAGCCGACATCCCCAGTGCCCGGTGCCAGGCGAGCAGCTCCCAGGCTGCCTCAGGAGCCCAGGCTGTGGGGCAGGTTGGCTGCCAGGGTCCCGGTGCACCCTGCAGCACTGACCCCTAGGGGACACGCATGTCCAGGCCTGTGTCCCCAACCTGCTGTGCTAGGGGAGCTGCTCACCAGGACTCGGGGCTCCAGAGAAACCAGGGTGTGCTCTCTCCTCAGCACCAAAACCCAGCCACTTGGACAGCAAGGTAGGGGAGCTTGTAGGAGAAAGGGATGTAGCTGCTCTGGACACGGAACAGTGGGAGACGAGATGGAAGCCTGGTCTGCCCGTGTGGGTCAGTGCTTACTACAGGGCTGTGCAGCCTTTGAACAAGAAGTACTGTACAGAAAGATACTGGAGTTTCAGATCTAATTCGTACAAAGAAAGAACAATGAAATGATGTTTCCATGCTTCACCCCTAACGGGATTGACGATCATCATTGGGTGGCGGGGGAGAGGAAGTGGGGATCTGAACCATTGTGCATCTATGGTAGGGAAAAGCCACACCCCTGTTCTTCCAGCAATCAGGAAGCTGAGGCAGGAGGATCACAAGTTTGAGGCCAGCCTAGACTATGTGATAAGAACTTACCTCAAAAGCAGAGCCTCAAAACAAAAAGCTTTCCACGATGCGTCCTTCCCAAGGGTCGCAGTGCAGCTGTAGGAAACTTGGCACCCTCACCACGCCTCCTGTGAGAGCCCCTGAGAAGGTGAGGTAATGACAGGCCACGCTGTGCATCATCTCCGTCTCCACCTGGAGTACCGAGGACTCAGTGATGTCCTGGCACAGCATCTCAGCTCCCCATCTGGGAGGCGGTGATGAGGCTGCCTGGGCCCCAGCCCCATGCAGAAGGCAGCACCAAGAGGCAGAGGCCCAGCCAGGTCAGGGGCACCAGCGCCCCTGCACTCAGCACAACTGGCACATGGAGAAAACACAGCTTTGAGTCTAGGGGGCCCTGGGGGAGCGTGGCTGGCAGAGACGGGAGACTGGGGACGGAGGGCAGCGAGGGGCCAGTGGCACCAGGCAGGAGGGCATGGCCAGACCAGTGCCAGGCTCTGGTCCAGCCTGGGGCTCAGGTGCCCTCCAGTGGAGTTTGTCTTCCAGGATTGCAGTATCACTGGCCTTGGTACCATGCAGCCTCTGGTAGCACAGTGGAGCCCATTGCGGTGTAAACACGTGTACACACACCCACGTGATCACCACCGTTCATCGCCATCCCGGTGTCCGTCACACACACGTGTATCTCAGGGGACTCCAGGAGGGTTGGGGGCAGGCCCCATGCAGACCCGCCTCTAGGGAACCCTCCCTTACTTCCCATTCTGAATGGGGAACCTGAGGCAGGGAGCAGTGAGCCCACTGTGTCCTGCCCACAGGGCCACGCAGAGGGATCTGGAACCCAGGGCTGCACGAAGTCCGCGCCTGAGAGGAAGGGCAGCAGGCAGCCTGCGCTGGGGCGGCTTTCACTGGTGCTCCGCCCAGGACAGGCCCAGATTCTCCCAGTGGATCCTACAGAGAGCAGGGCTCAGCAGGCCTGTGGTGCCCCCGGAAGCCGCCAGGGGGCGGCGTGCACGAAGCTATGCATGGCAGGCCCCGTTTGTCCCGCAAGGGGCTCTTTCTCTTCAGCTGGTGGTCACCCTTCCTCAGGCTGCTCAGGCGTGCACGCCCCATATGCATATTGACATGTGTGTGCACACAAAGATACCTGTGTATGGTAATGCACGCACACACAAATGTGTGCACACGTGCCTGGTGTAAATACACATGCACGCACAGGTATACACATGGATGTGTTCAGGGGCCCCCAGACACACGCGCACACAAACATGTTTCAGACATGTACATGCATGCACACACCCCTGCGTGCACAGACATGTTCACATGTATGCACACAAACATGCACATGTGTACACATAGGCACGCACGCCCAAATACCTAAGCATGTGCACACATGTGTGCGCACATTCCTCAACAAGGCCTGGCCACAGCGGGCCTGAGCCAGTGCTTGCTGGTGCCCTAGCTGCAGGTCGGGCACTGGCAGCCCTCCTCTGCCTGGGGCGTGGCACCTACTGTCCCTCTGCTGTTCACCAGCTTCTCGCTGGGTTCAGTTCTGCTCATGCCCTGTGGGGCACACCTGGCCTGCAGGTGGGTGCTGTGCTGGAGCTGTCAGCAGTTGAAAGCCAAGAGGCTTCACAGGCACCATCAGAAGCCCGGCCCTTCCCGTGCCTGCAGCCCTGAGCTCGGCACTCCCACTCCCTATGCAGCGCACAGCAGGTCTCCAGGCCGCGCCGGGCCAACCTCATGTGTTGGAAGAGCACCCGCCAAGGGCCGAGGCAGGAGAGGGTCAGAGGCTCCCCAGGAGCAGGGGCCAGGACATCTGCAGGCCGAGTGGAGCGGGGGCCCCACCCATGCTGACTCAAACCCCAGGACCTCGGTCGGATCTTGGCCTGGCATGGACCCCAGCCCAGTGCAGCACTGCCCTGACAGGAAGAGGCAGAGACACCGGGCCACTGTCCGCGGCCACGCCCAGAGGAAGCCACCAGGCTCACAGAACTATCTCAAAGTGCCACTCACCTGAGGACCTACAGGGAGCGCAGGTGAGCAAGATCTGGGTTTTCAGAGCCACTCCAGGAGGTTCATGACCCTGGGCCTCTCTCCTGGGTTGGTTTCTGGGGTTCCGGGACCTGGCAGAGCCCCCGGTCAGCACACACCCCGATGGCCAGTCATGAGTGCTCCCAAACGGCCTGCAGCACACAGCCCTGCACAGGCCAAGCACTGCAAAGACAGGTGGTGTTGGCGACGTGTCACCCAGAGCATGTCATCCCCTCTGCCCCACGGTGGCCCTAAGTGCCATAGGAAAGAGGACACTGAGGCCGAAAAGGGCTCTGCCACCCTGCAGGCCACATAGCTGAGCCACGGCCTGAAGCTGCGAGGAGATACAGGAGAGAGGGAGGGAGAGGGAGGAACTCGCAGGTGCAGGACGTCTTCTGGGGAGACAGTCACAGCTGTGAGACACCAAGCGCCACCTGCCTGCTCCAGGAACAAGGACATCACCCCACTCTGGGAGTCACCCCAGGAAAGCTGGGTAGCGAGGGGCCAGAGGCCAGGAGAGGCTCGTGGAGAGTGGCCAAGGACCAGGCTTGGAGCAGCAGAGACTGGGCAGGAGGCTTCCACCCTGGATCCTCTGTCCCCAGGAGAGGAGTCACGTGCCCACCCTCCCATCAGAGTGGCCTGTGTCCTCTTCACCCCACAGGCCACAGAGCGGCTCTGAGGCTCTTCGGCTGCAGCCCTCGGTGTCCTTGGGAGATGCACGGTCTCCAGTCACATGCAGGTGCCCTGCAGGATGGGCCAGCTTGGCCCAGGCACCACAGGAAGTCTTGGGAGCTAGGGTGGGTTTCGGGCAGTCCAACCTAGTATGGATTCCCACTGTATCTGGGTTCAGAGGGGAGGAAGGCAGCTACTGCTAACATGGCACTGTGACAGAACTGCTAGGGGCTTGTTCTCCCAGCATCACAGGACTCTAAAGGAGCAAGGGCTCAGTGCCTTCCTTCTCTTTGTGCCCCTGTCCTAGTGTGACTCTGTCCTCAAGGTTGCAAGATGATTGTAACAGGAAGCTCAAATAAACAGCCACACCAACCCACATCCCTACAAGAGCAGTGCAGGGACCTGCCCATCTGCTGCTATCTCATTGGTCAGGGTGGTCACATGACCACCTTGCTGCAAGGCGATCTGGGAAATTGAATTCCATTATGCTCCCAGAGTAACACGGTCTCTGCTGGAAGAAGGAAGAGACTGAATATTGTTGATCTCTCCCAGACATCGGTCCACAGTGTCTGCTGAGCTTCCAAAGCATTAGAAACAGCCTTGGGATGCCGCTGCCTCAGCCTCCTCCTCTGCCGTCCCGGGCCACCTGCTGTAGGGTCCCAGCCCGGCAGGGGCAGGGAGACTAGGCACTTGGGGCCTGCGGTCTGTTGGGGTCGGGACTCACAGTGGAGATCTCTGGAACACAGGAGACAGTGGCCCAGGCGGGCGGGGACGGGAACCACGCACCTCACAGGCTTTCCTCGTCACAGGCAGACCCCACCAAAGAGCAGAGATTCACTTCAGCTCAGTCTGGAGAGGTTTCGGTCCATGTCGGTGGCTCCAGGCAGTCGGCCTGGCAGAGAAGGGAGCTGCCCCCCAGCGGGTGGGCCTGAAGCACAGGGAGATGCAACCTTCCGGGCTGCGGCCACACCTCCTAACCGGAAGTGGGTTATCAGCCCCGTGGCCCATCCCCTTCCTGAAGGCCCTGCACATTGTCATGGAAACCAACGCAGCTTTCCTGGGAGGAGGGCAAGTCCACTTGTGTCTTCCAGGGCAGGCAGGGCCCTGGCACCCACAGGTGGGGACTGCACGGGGGATGCGGAGGCTGGGTATGGGGGCCACTAGAAGCTGGGATGGCCATCACGGATGCTGAAGAGGCCAGGAGCACGGAAGAAGGTGCTCCCTGTCACCTCCAGTCCTGGGGTGTTTCGGAGCAGGAAGACGCATGTACCTCCAGCCCACGCCTGTGTCCACAGAGCCTAAAGCCCAGAGGGCCCCATGTCTAGGGAAGTGGCTGGGGAGCAAAGGGAGGCCACGTCCGAGAGTGGGCACAGCCGCCCCACCCTGCCCCTCTGCCGTCACAGGGGAGGGTACTGCTGCTGTCAGATTCCCCAGTGAGGTACACAGCTCAGTTGGTGCCCAGTCTACACATGGTCCTGGGCCCCAAGCTCCCAGCTGTCCCCTTGCTGCACAATCTCTGTCCCTTCCTCAGTGGACGGATGTCCAGTACCACCAGCTTCCCCCCCAGGAGGGCAGGTGGAGCCCAAGTTGAGCCCCAGCCTGGACACACCTGCTGGGTCAGTGCCTGTTGGGCCTGGGGCACCTTAGACGCTTGGTGGCCAGTGAGAGGAGGTGTCTCTGGGGGCCCCTGGAAGCCATCAAGTGCACAGGCCCCGTGGACAAGTGGACCACAGTAGGACCATGGCCAGGCCTTGTCCCTCCTATCCTCCTATGTGTCCAATGTCCACCTCCAGGGCTTCCCATTGTTATCTGCTACAGGCGGGGAAATCACCACTTCCTTCCGACCCTGCCCTGGAAGGGCCCGGTGTGGCCAGCTTGTGGTCAGGTCACGGCCTGGTTCCCATGTCCTCGTCTGGAGCAGGGGCATCTTCCAGGAAGAGAGCAATGGGCACAAAGCTGTGAGTTCAAAACGGGCTGACCCTGTGGCTTCCTGTTCTGCTCACACCTTCCTCCCTGTGCCTTTCAAGTCCCGACCAACCGCAATTTCATGGAACAACCGGAAACTTTCCTCAGAGTAGAGATCAAAGCCCAGCAGAGGCCACCCACCTCCCTGAGGGTGCGAGCTTCCTACCATCTGTGTGCAAGGCCGGGAGCTAAGGGCGCTTCAGAGGGCGTCCTGGGGGGGACCTCCAGCTGCAGAGTCCTAGGACCCAGCCCGGAGGTGGTGGACAAAGCTGACCAAGGCCACAGCCAAGCACTTGCGGCATTTGGGGACAAAGTGCGGGGACTCTGGGCCTGCAGTACTTAGCTGGGCTGAACATTTCATGAACTTTCAATTCTGCGACAGCCACTCCACTCTACCTGGGCCTCCACTGCTCCAGGTGGACGTCACTGTCTCTGTGAGCTGCTCACGAGAGTACCAATGTGTGAATAAACAGAATGATCACCGCTTGGCCACTAAGGGTGGCCTGTTCTCCCCTGCATGGCTCTGGAGCCCGGGGTAGCAGCACCTTCAGAGGGGAAGAGCTTTCCTGCTGTCTGACTGGGGGTCAGGCCGGCCGGAAGTGTCCAGCTTTTTCAATGGAAATCAAAGTCATGCAGGAAGCCAGGGAAGAAGCTGGTGCCTGACCTCCCCTCCAGGCAGGCGGCGTGCACAGGACAGGGGTCACAGTGCTTCCTCAGCCCTGCCCCTCCAGGCTCTGTCTGCCACCTGGGTCTGCTCGTGCCTGCTCCAGCACCCACTGTCACCAGCCCTCCAGGGATGTGAACTGCTTCCCAGGGCCAAGGCCAAGGCCACAGAGAGCCCAGGGAACTCTGTCCCCACTTGTCATGAGGCTCCTGAGGGCAGGAAGAAAGCCAGCCTTTGGCTACACCTGGGAGCCAGGACAAGGACCCCACTTAGAGGTGGCCAGGACCTCGAGGCTCTGAGGGGGGACACAGGGTTCGGGTGTGCCAGGCTGTGTGCACCATGGCTCCCTACGGGCACCGGGTTTCTCTTGGAGTGACAAGAATTTTCTGGAACTGTACAGAGGTAGGGCCACAGATGAAGGCTATAGATGCCATTGAATGTGTACTTGAAGTGGGGAAGTTTCACAAAGTCGGAAACCAAAACAAAGGAGAAGAAAATCTCACCACACAGACACAAGGGAGGTGCAGGGCAATGGCCACGCACCAAACACCACGAGCACACGGGGCACTCAGGGTCCACACAGCATCAGCGGCTCTGTTCCTCTCAGCACCAGGGGTTCCGGGCCCTGGATCCGGGTGTCGCAGCTGGTCCTGCTGGGACCTGTGTCTGGCCATCCCTGTGTCCTCCATGCTTGTCCCTCAGGGTGCATCTGTCTCCAGATCTCTTGTTACTTACGCACCTGGGAAGGGCAGGTGAGGTGGGGCACACCTCTCCACCCAGAATCTGGAAGGCTGAGGCAGCCTGGCCAACTCAGCAACTTTGAAAGACCCGTCTCCCCTTGATGAAATAGAAAGGGGCTGGAGATGCAGCTCAGTGTGAGGGTGTGAGTTCAATCGCCAGTATTTCCATTCTTTAAAAAGTGAAAAGGGTGGGCCGGGGACTTATTAGCTCAGTGTTTCTGCTGCCCGCCTTGCAAGTGCAAGGTCCTGGGTTCAATCCCCGGTACCAAAAAAAGAGAGAATTTTAAAAGTGAAAAGGGCTGAACACTGCCTCACTCCACTCCACATTGTCAAATCTCAGACCATGCAACAAGAGCTGTGGGGACCACACCAGACTCAGCAGTACAGCCAGGGTCCCTTTATGAGCTCCTAGGACGGAGACCAGGGTGCCAGCTGCAGGTGGAGGCGTACTGACTGAAAAGGGACATGGAACTTTCTGGAACTGAGGGAAGATGTGTCACTCCCAGCCTGCTAGACGCCAGACAGGCCAAGTTCATGTTCCCTCAGTCCAAGAAGGAATTCTAAGGAGGAAGGCAAGTTAAGAGTAGGAAAATGGAGCAAGGAATTGCAATGGGGGACAGGAGTGGCCCCTGAATGGGTTGCCGAGGACTCTACTTCTCTGAGAAGTTTTATAGAGCAAACTCACAAGTTGGGTACAACTTAGCTCAAAATATAATCAACCAAGAGAATTATAAGGATAGCAGCTTGACCAAGGTTAGTCCAGTGGTGGCCAGGGCACTGATGACAGTCTTGGTCCTGACAGGATCTCTGTGGTCCAGGGGTGGGAGGGGTGGCCACCCAGTGAGACAGTGGCTTGCTGGTGCGGAAATTGCAAAAGGGTGGCACCAGTCACCTCAGCTTCCTGTTATCCTCGGGGGAGCCGTAGCTCCCTTCAGCTGTGCCTCAGCCACGGTGCCCACGTGCTTTCCTCGCATTTCTGCCAACTGAGGTGTCTGTGACAGGATGACGGGCGACCCCTCGGCGGGATGCAGAGCCCTGAAGCTGACCTTTCCCTGGACCGCTGGGTCCCACACAGCACGGTCTACCTCACAGAAATCACACCGCGCCACAGCCACCCTCCCGAAGTCCACCCAGAGAGAGAGCGTGAGGTGGGCGACACCAGGCAACCTCAGACACGCCGGCCGCCTCTCTGCCTGCCGCCTGTTTCCCAGGAAGGAGGGAAATGGGGAACACCATGACAGCCTTTTTCAGAGCACCTGGCTGGTGTGGGGACGAGCCCATCCACCCCATCCACTCCTTCCGGTGTCCCTGATCCCCTGCTTGGGTGCGACGAGGTCCCTGTCATCACCTGTGCAAGCTGGCACTGCCACGGGCACGCAGACTCTGGACAGGTAGGCAGAGTTGGCCTGTGGGCAGGGACAGCACCCTCCCCAGATAACCAATGCAGAGGAGATGCTCAGGCGAGCACTCTGGTCCAGGGAACACTCACGGGCAGGCTGCTGGCATGGCATGGGTCAGACCAGGCTGCTGCTTGACCCTGTGGGGTGCAGGCATCCCCACCCCTCAGAGCCCTTCACCCCAAGTGAGGGTAGAGTCAGGAGAGCCTAGGGCACAAGTGACCAGGGAGGAGCTTGTGGCCTCTGAAGGAGCACAGCTCACAGGCTGGCTGTGGAAATGTCTGGGGTCACATGGAGCAGATGCTTCCTCTAACAGATGCCAGCTGGATGTCTGCCGGGAGGTGCCACCCTCTGCCACCTCCCTGGCCTCTGCTCCCCGCTTTTCCCCACCCCTCGCTGTCTGGGTGCTGGATGGCACCCACGGTATTTTCATCCCTTTGCCAACATTTTTAAATCAGGACTTCATGTAATCTGGAGTTGCGATTCCCCCTAAAACATGGCAGGCCTGGTGAGGTCGGGCCAGGATTCACTGGGCAGATCCAAAGCTTTTGTGCACCCTGGACACAGACAGGCGCCACAGTGTGGCCAGGGTGGTGAGACAGGCACAGACACAAACCCCATCTCTCCACACTCCAGGCACCAGTCCCAGACAGTGGGCAGGCCTCCAGGGGTGAGAGGGAGACAGCAGGAGGGCCCAGTGTGTTGTGCAGACAGTTTCAGATCTTAAGGTGAAAAGCTCTGGGGACAGACAGTGCCGGTAGATGCACAACACTTGGAAAGTATTTGATATCACTGAACTACACACTGAAAAATGATTAGGATGGTCTGGGAGGCTGAGGCAGGAGGATCCCAAGTTGAAGCCTAGCCTGGGCAACTCAGCAACTTTGTGAGACCCCATCTAAAAATGAAAACTGAAAAAGCGCTGGGGACTCAGCTTAGCGCGAAGGCCCTAGTACTGCAGATTTCTTTGAAGCTTAGGGTGTAAATCCTATTTAAAGCATGTTTTGCACCAATAAAACCTTTTTACTCAGCAGGACAATGGGTGGGAAGGATTTGAGAGGGTCTGAGCCTCGATATCCACAGGGAAAGCACAGCCAGTGTGTGCCAGGGAGGAGCGGCCCTTGGCGCATCCTCTCCACAGAGCTCACC